TGCCTGTAAATGAATTTATTAAAGCCATCATTATTTTATGTACTTAATTTATTCCTTGCATTTTTATATTTGCAATTCCTAGCTTTAATACAGGTAGTCCTTGACTTACAACATTTTATTTAGTGACTGCTCAAAGTTACAATGGCACTGAAAAAGGGGACTTATGAGCCTTTTTCACAGTTACACCTTTTGTAGCATCCCCCAGGTCATGTGATCAAAATTCAGAAGCTTGGCAATTGACACATATTTATAACAGTTGCAGTGTCCCAGGATCACCTGATCACTTTTTGCAACTTCTGACAAGCAAAGTCAATGGGGAAGCCAGATTCACTCAAGAGTGGTGTTACTAACTTAACAAATGCAATGATACAGTTAACAACTGTGGCAAGAAAAGTCGTAAAATGGGGCAAATTCATTTAACAAATGTTTCACTTAGTAATAAATTTGGGGCTCAATTGTGGTTGTAACTCGAGGACTACCTGTATGCTAAAAGTCTGGTAACCTTTTTTGCTGAACATATATAGAATATGCCCAATGAGGGAGCAGAACCTACTTAGTACTTGAATCAGAGACTCAAAGAAAATATAAGGGTTAAATTGCAATTGAACACTTAAATAAAATCCCAGAGGATAATAATGACACATTAATTCTATACTAGTGCCAAGAAAATGTATTCATAAAGTCAATAGGATGAAATAAAAGGAAACTTATGGAATGTTGCATTATTGTGTGTCCACAATTTCCCCCCAAGTTTCTTTGTTTGTATCACCAACATCAGCCTTACATATTAGTAGGCTGCAAATATTCCCATAGCTTTTTCTTTGTACAAAAAGCCTACTTTGTAAATGTGCATTTTGATGCATTTATCTTTTGGTGTATCTTGTATTAATTTATTTTTTCTTTCTTAGTAGTTTTGATAAATGGGGTTTTGGAAGTGCATTGTTGGTTTTTGGTCTGTTGGTTTTCTACCCATTTAATTTTTCAATTGCAATCCAGTATCTTATTATCCTTTCCTAATCAATAGCAAAAGGTCAAGCCTAGTTTTTATGGCCTTGTTAGTAATGCAGTGTCAGTAATGGAGGCAGAGGACGTTGTTTATCCATTATAAAATTAACTGGAATTGTAACCCTGAAGCTTTGTTGCTTCGTGTAACTTTTTTAAAAAAAATACTACTTTATTATAATGTATCCAGGAGGAATATCCTTGAGGAATTTGCCCATTGATTATAGTATCGATTATAAGTTCGGCAGTTGTATTCTGATGGTTACAGAATTCAGTACAACAAATTATATTGTGGCAGAAAGACATTTATAACTGAGCTTGAGAGTCAACTATGTTACTACACTGAAGTACCATAAACTGTTTTTCCTATTCTTGAAGAAAGAAGGTTTCAAAGTAAGACTCAAGAAAACACCTAGAAATATTATCTCATAATTTCTGAAGGATTATATAGGAGTATAAAATAAATTTTAAAAAATTAGATCCCTGACACATAAAAATTGGCTATAAAATTTTTTCCCCAAAAGAACTGTCTGAAAAATGAGGAAAGCAATTTAATTTCCATGATTTGGTTCCTTAAATTTAGTAACAGCCATTTTAAAATTTCAATTCTGCCATATTGTATAGCTCCTTGCAAACTATCCAAAACTTCTCTGAAAAGTCAGAAGTCCGTCTTAAATATGTGAGGTAGAATGTTGCAAGAGGTTAGAAACATCTCAGATGATCAAATTTAATTCTCTGAATGTTTCTTCTCTTTCAATTCTCTTTCTATCTTGAAAATATGTCACAGGGAGCTGAAAGAAAGAGAAGATAGATTTTTTTGTGAGAGTCTGAAATGAAATTAAGATTCACGTCCATGATTGCTTTTGTTTTTCCTATTATCTATCTATCTATCTATCTATCTATCTATCTATCTATCTATCTATCTATCTATCTATCATCTATCATCTTTCTTCATTATTATGGAAATAAATGTCTGTTGCAACAAGTGAAAAGTCAGTCTCTTGGAGCAAATTCTAGGTAACAATGTCACATGTAACTTCTTTAGATAAATTTATGTTAAGGATTTTCAAGAAAAATGACAGACATTATCTCTTTACCTTTGATCTTTTTTTTTAAAAAAAAGAGAAAAGTTTTGTCTTGATTTCTTTGAAACAGTTCTAGATATTAACTTTTTTCTTTTTTTATACCATTCCTTTTAGTAGAGGCTTGATCAGTTTACAAGACTACAAAATAAACTTAAATATCATCACAAGAAGAGAATGCTTAAAGATAATACACACAAAAATTAAAGGTAGTTCTATGTACTGTACAGAAAAGCAAAGTATTAGTTCTTGATGGCTCTTAAAAATGCCTGGGTAATCAGGGATGTATGTAATTAGTGATGTGCAAGTATTCCAATTCAAAGCAAAAGAGGTGGGATGTGGACATGCTGACTGTACTTGTCAGCCTCTCCTTAAAGAAACTGTTTTTATTTCACTCACATAGCAGCTGCAGGGTCTCAGAAAAATACATGTTTGAGTTAAGGAGGTGTTGACAGGTGCAAGAAAATTGTATCCTGATTCTGTTTCCAAATCTCTGTTACTCAAACAGAATAAGACCTGCACACTTACTCTAATGAGGGTAGGAAAAAGTGCATTTTCTTAAAGGAAGCNTATGTATATGTATATATGTTCATCCATGTAATTGTTACATTGTTTTCTCTACTTTTGTGCAGTAGCACTGAATTAGAAATACTAATAGGAAGAGAATACTGAACTTAAAGTAACCCACACAAAGAAATTGGCTTTCTTCAAGCAAAAGAAAATGAAGATAAGCAAGAGGGGAAAGAGCTATGGGGGAGGGGGACAGTTTTACAAGGGATATAGAAAGGCTAACTTTTTGCCAATGTTTAAGGAAGTTTGGAACCCACTTCTGGTAACTGTAGGAAGGAAAAAGAGGAAACTCTGTATTTATCTGCAATAATTATAAGAACATTATTAACAGCTTTTAAAATGTAGTATTATTAATCTGAGATCTTTGTGTCTTATGTTTAATTGATTAATACATAAACATCTTACTTACATTTTTTTTCAGATCTGTCAAAACACTTAGTACAAAATTATAGTGATGTAGAGGAACTTATGGAAGGAGGGAATATAAATCGAACCACTGCTGCAACTGGGATGAATGATGTTAGCAGCAGATCCCATGCCATTTTCACAATCAATTTCACTCAGGTAAGAAAAAAAAATCTTGGTGATTTTTTTTACATTGAATTTTTGAGTTTCAACTCAAATTCAATTGTCATTTAATTTGAGGAAAAAAAGAAAAGAAAATATTTGCTTTCTAATAAATTAAATGGCAGTTATCTTTTCCTGACATGTGTAAACTGTATAGTATGTATACAATGTGTGACTGGATATGATAATTTATTTTAGTTTTACTTTTAACACTACACTTGATAGGAATGTGGAAGAATGATAGCATTTCTTTCAGGCCTTTTTCCTAACTCTAAATATACTTGAATTTAATTGAATTGAATTTAATGAATTTATAGGCCGTTTTATACTTGTTAGTTTAATCCTACTATTAATTGCACAGGTTTTTTTAAAAACTATTGGGCTAATATTTGAAATGGGGCATGAAATGGTGCAGTGGTTAAAGGGCCATATTAGGAGTGGGCATATCCACGTTCCAGTTCTCCCTTAAACATGGAAGCTATCTGGGTGATCACCGATCAGACTGTCCTTCTCGGCCCTAATCAGCATCAGTCTTTACAAGTCAGATAAAAATTAACATTCTCCATTGCATCTTGCATTGATATTTCTTTTGTAAGAACTAGGTGAGCTGAGTGTAAAACACTCGAGCCCTACAGCTCTGCAGGACAAATGCTAAGAAAGACAAGTAGAATCTGGGAATACTATTAACATGGTATTTACCATAAAAATTGTTGAGCTGTCTAATCAGAGTCTCAATATCTATTCTGATTATATTTGAACAAGAGGAAATGGTATTTTTAAGAAAGGAAATAAATAAAACACCATTTTTAATAGACTGAATAAAAACATTTTATTATTTTATTGATTATTTTATGTAGACTTGTTATTACAGATACATAAATACACAAATTCAATTTTATATTTTTTTCAAGGCATTCCAGCACATTCTATTTTTGTTCAATTCCAGTTTTTGGAAATATGGTATGGAAAAAGAAGTGATTAAATTTTTTTCAAATAATTTATGGGAAATGTGTATATATAAACCTTACAAGATTGCACTCACCTTTAAAGCCCTACATGGCTTAGGGCCTGGATATCTACGGGATCGTCTTCTGCCACATACTTCCCAGCGACTGATAAGATCTCACAGAGTGGGCCTTCTCCGGGTGCCGTCAACTAGACAATGTCATTTGGCGGCTCCTCGGGGGANACCCAGACTGTGGGGACGATATGCTGACTCTGTAAACCACTTAGAGAGGGCTGAAAGCCCTATGAAGTGGTATATAAGTCTAACTGCTATTGCTAACTGCTAGACATGTGAGGAGCTATTTAGTGATACTAGCTTCCCCAAATTGTGTACATGGGGAACAATGAGTGATCAGGCTAAGTCTGAGGGAGGGGTCAAATATGTCATCAGTCTTGAGTCACTTTGGGCTTACAAGATATCTAAGTTCTGCCTCTGTTGAATTCTGTTGACTGGTACCTACCACTAATTTGTTTTGACCATTAGTAGTTCAACTTTTTGTAGAGAGCTTAAGCTTGAAATGAACATATATATTCGTTTGAACTGCCTGGACTTGATAAGGAAGTTGGGAAAGTGACATTTGCTCATTCTTTTGCTCAACCTCCTCTAATAAAAAAATAAATTCTCCCCACTACCCAAAAGACAATTTAGAGAGATACAAATAGTTTCAAATTGAAAGGACTTGTTGAAATCCAAGCGTTTCCCATTTTTGAATGGAATAGTTTTTGTATCAGTGACTTTTTTGTCATGCAATATCAATGTATTATTTTTTGTAGGGAGATACTGGCTTAATACCTCGGATCTGTGAAGGATTATTCAAACGAGTAAATGAGAAAACAAGATGGAATGAAGCCTCCTTTCGAACAGAGGTCAGGTATGTTTGCACGGAACAAATGTTTCTGAATTTATTTATCTTTTAACTGAGTTACCATTCTACACCTTTATTTAAAAATAAATCAAGCAATCTCTCCACAAATTCTGTTCTGTTTAGAGTTCATAAATGGTCTGATTGTTTTGCTCCATCTACTGCAGTCCTGTTTACCCTTCTTAAATACTGCCCATGAGAACTGATCAACATGTTAGCCCATTCTTTGTTATTTTCCCTAATTAGGGAGGCCTGATCTTTATTTCTGACCTCTTTGAAACAGTTGAAAGCATAACTGAGTCTCTTCTAATGACTGGGCATTTTGAAAAATCTGCTCTAGAGGGTTGATGGTTTCTCTGGAATAGTATGACAGATGACATACAGGGTACATAGGGAATGGCAAAATCAGACCAGCCTTTTTCCTTGGAGAGTTGCAACTAAACTATTAATCTTGATTCAGTGGAATAGATGGAATTTTAAACTTGAATAATATTTTGATATATAGTACATTTATTTCTTATTTCAGTTACCTGGAAATTTACAACGAGCATGTCAGGGATTTACTGAGGCGCAAGTCTTCCAAAACAAATAATTTAAGAATTCGTGAACATCCAAAGGAGGGACCTTATGTTGAAGGTGGGTTTTAAATAATGAATGCAGTTCAATTCGTTGGATATCTATGTATATGTATGAATGCAGAAATCTGCCTTGGTTATAAACCTCTATGATCCATGGTAAGTTCATGTCACTTCACCCTAATTGGTGAAATTTGGTGTGTTTTTTTTATATCTGGAGTTGATGTTCTATTAACTGATTGGAAACGACTGATGAGTCTGCCATATAAATTAGGCAGTTGTGATAGAAGAGCACTTATTAGAATATAATTGGTGTAATATATTCTTTTCCAGTTTATGTCATGGGGTATTAAGAATAAAAAATGTTTAGGAAAACTGCAGATTTCTTTTCAGGTTGATGATCCCTACATTTCAGGTTGTAAATGCCGATATTCACAGCAGTCTCTCTCTCTCCCTCCCNAAGGTCAAGCCTAGTTTTTATGGCCTTGTTAGTAATGCAGTGTCAGTAATGGAGGCAGAGGACGTTGTTTATCCATTATAAAATTAACTGGAATTGTAACCCTGAAGCTTTGTTGCTTCGTGTAACTTTTTTTAAAAAAATACTACTTTATTATAATGTATCCAGGAGGAATATCCTTGAGGAATTTGCCCATTGATTATAGTATCGATTATAAGTTCGGCAGTTGTATTCTGATGGTTACAGAATTCAGTACAACAAATTATATTGTGGCAGAAAGACATTTATAACTGAGCTTGAGAGTCAACTATGTTACTACACTGAAGTACCATAAACTGTTTTTCCTATTCTTGAAGAAAGAAGGTTTCAAAGTAAGACTCAAGAAAACACCTAGAAATATTATCTCATAATTTCTGAAGGATTATATAGGAGTATAAAATAAATTTTAAAAAATTAGATCCCTGACACATAAAAATTGGCTATAAAATTTTTTCCCCAAAAGAACTGTCTGAAAAATGAGGAAAGCAATTTAATTTCCATGATTTGGTTCCTTAAATTTAGTAACAGCCATTTTAAAATTTCAATTCTGCCATATTGTATAGCTCCTTGCAAACTATCCAAAACTTCTCTGAAAAGTCAGAAGTCCGTCTTAAATATGTGAGGTAGAATGTTGCAAGAGGTTAGAAACATCTCAGATGATCAAATTTAATTCTCTGAATGTTTCTTCTCTTTCAATTCTCTTTCTATCTTGAAAATATGTCACAGGGAGCTGAAAGAAAGAGAAGATAGATTTTTTTGTGAGAGTCTGAAATGAAATTAAGATTCACGTCCATGATTGCTTTTGTTTTTCCTATTATCTATCTATCTATCTATCTATCTATCTATCTATCTATCTATCTATCTATCTATCTATCATCTATCATCTTTCTTCATTATTATGGAAATAAATGTCTGTTGCAACAAGTGAAAAGTCAGTCTCTTGGAGCAAATTCTAGGTAACAATGTCACATGTAACTTCTTTAGATAAATTTATGTTAAGGATTTTCAAGAAAAATGACAGACATTATCTCTTTACCTTTGATCTTTTTTTTTAAAAAAAAGAGAAAAGTTTTGTCTTGATTTCTTTGAAACAGTTCTAGATATTAACTTTTTTCTTTTTTTATACCATTCCTTTTAGTAGAGGCTTGATCAGTTTACAAGACTACAAAATAAACTTAAATATCATCACAAGAAGAGAATGCTTAAAGATAATACACACAAAAATTAAAGGTAGTTCTATGTACTGTACAGAAAAGCAAAGTATTAGTTCTTGATGGCTCTTAAAAATGCCTGGGTAATCAGGGATGTATGTAATTAGTGATGTGCAAGTATTCCAATTCAAAGCAAAAGAGGTGGGATGTGGACATGCTGACTGTACTTGTCAGCCTCTCCTTAAAGAAACTGTTTTTATTTCACTCACATAGCAGCTGCAGGGTCTCAGAAAAATACATGTTTGAGTTAAGGAGGTGTTGACAGGTGCAAGAAAATTGTATCCTGATTCTGTTTCCAAATCTCTGTTACTCAAACAGAATAAGACCTGCACACTTACTCTAATGAGGGTAGGAAAAAGTGCATTTTCTTAAAGGAAGCGTTGGCAACGCTTTTCTGTTTTGGATCCAAATAGTTGTACATCTTCATTTGTTTTTATAAAGAAGACAGCATAGAAACTAGCTGAATGTCCCTTAGGAGAGAGTTCCATAATTGCCTCTCCAATTATGGAAGTCTATAATTAATTTTAAAAAACCATTAATAGTCCAGTCTTATTAACATCATCTGAGGAGACACTGCTCATGATCTGGTGAGCCAAACCTTCTGGTAATATCTATCAAGATGATCAATGCATACATTGAACTTTATGGAGGGAGTGCTTTTATTATTAATGTTCTGTGATTTCATTTAGACATCCCCCTTAAGAATCAGTCACCATTTGTAGCTTCTGAAACATCTTCAAGGCTAGTCCTATATACTGAATATAAAAATAAGCTAACAGGATAATTACCAAGGCACATATCCTGGAGGCTAGAATTTGAAGGTGGTTCCTTAGCCGAGATAAACATAGGGTCTCTTTGGTATTGAGGCCAACTGTCCCTCTGCCAACAGATAAGAATCGGAAATATTTAAGATATACAATTGTTCTCTTGGAAGAAAAGCACTCTCATCTACTAGACTACAGGAAGCTTCCTAACGCTTTAGAGCCTGAAACAAAATTACTCAATTATTCCATCTAATATGAATTCAGCTTATGTTTTTGGAGCTCATCCATTCCATTAATGTTCTCAAGCAACTTTTAAGCACATATATAGTCTTTCCTTATTAAAGTAGAAAGGAGTTAAGTGTCACTAAGACACTGATGAAACCAACATCTGGATAAACACCTCCAGCGATCTGAACATCAGGTCAAATTTAAAAAAATCTGTTAGTCCCCTAATTTAAATACAAAGTGTCCAAATAGAAGTTTCCCATTACAACTTTTTGGTTCCAGTCCCGCAGATAAAGCCAGGTAATATTGTCTTTCCAGTTCCATACCACTAAGTTGCTCAAGCCATATGCCACAATCAGTCATGTTAAAGAGCTCTGAGAGTCAATGCTGTAGCACACTCCATGTCTTTTTCTCTCCCTGTATGGTGATTGATATGGGCAACTAAGCAGTTTCTGGACTGTTTCCACCCTAAAGCCATCGTGAAATGGATATAGATAATTGGTTTCTTCCACTTACGTTTGTATCTGGATGACCAGCACTTTTTAAAAAAAAATGGTTAGTGTTTATATGCCACTCTAACCTAAAGGGACTCTGAACAGTTTATATGCCTCACTTATAGAAGTGAAGTTAAAATTCAAAATAAACATGACAAATTATAATTACAAAACTTTGGTACCCTAAGTGTGAACCATGAAACTATGACAGGAACACACTACTTATTATCACTGTTCCCATATTTTGAAAAGTTAGATTATAACAGGTTTCATAAAATCTGTTATAACTGGGTGGGAGCTACTCTGATCTCAGGAAATATGCTGTTCCAAAGAAAGAGGGCTGTAACCAAGAAAACACAACTTCTCTCAACTAACACTAATTGGATACTTCCCCTCAGGAAAGAGTCATGTAAAAGAGTGTCTGCTGTTCCCAACCCTTGGAGATTTTCCAGAGAATAACAGATGAACGCTATCAAAAGCTGCTGAGTGGTGAGCTCAGTATAGATAATCTCACAAAATGTAGACTGAGTCATCTCCATAGGACTTTTTCAGTTGGACTTGAGCTCCAAGTATATTTGAGCAGTTTTATTCATCCAGTGCCTTAAAAACTAATAGCAGCCCAACAAATGTTTTTCTAGCCCATCTTTCCATAAAGAATAGTTACTTAGTATTTTATTACTCTAATTTCTTTTGCTTCATTTCCCTGTACTTCCTGTACCACTTTATAGACCAGTGGTTCTCAACCTTTCCAATGCCGCGACCCTTTAATACAGTTCATGTTGTGGTGACTCCCAATCATAAAATTGGTGTCTCGGTTCCTAAGACCATCAAATATATGTGTTTTCCGATGGTCTTAGGCGACGCCTGTGAAAGGGTCATTCAACCCCCAAAGGGTTCCCGACCCACAGGTTGAAAACCAGTGCTCTAGATCCTACTGGTTATATCTTAACAGCCACAAATGCAAATGCTTGGAGTTTAGGTACCTGTCCTAAACCACAGTTAAGACTGGAATTTTGGTTGCTAAGTGCTGCAATGACTGGATCTATTTTTTGTCATTGGGTGAATCACTGCAGTCATTAAGTAAATCATGCGGTCATAAAGGGATTCCGACATTCCCAATTGACCTTACTTGTCAGAAGCCAGCTGGGTAAATTACAAATTGTGATCCTGTGACCATAAGACACTACAGCAATCGTAAATGTAAGCTGCTTTCCAACCATCTGAATTGCAGTCACATCATTGGGAGTAGGGTGCAATGATCCTAACTTCAAGGATGGGGCATAAGTCACTTTTTATAAAGCCATTATAACTTTGAACAATCATTAAACAAACAATTATGTCAAGGACTACCTGTAAATTCTTTCCATTCATTCTTATGGCTTATGCCGATGCTGTATTTGCTCAAGCATAACTGTTAATAAGAGAACAAGGCAGAGCAAGGAATATCCACCAGCCACCCCATATTTCTGTGCGTCTGATGGTCTGTGTCAGAGGGTAGGAAGGACACAGGAATTAATGCAGACATACACAGTGTTCTGTCAAAGTGATGTGTTATTGTTACAGGGCAAATAAAGTAAATGGTGCATATATTTCTTTATACAGTGATCTTAGCCAAGTAATATACTTAGGAATTCTTTTTTTCATATAGCTGCTAAATTTAATCATGGCTTTGTTGACTCTATTAGCGTAGTAGTGCTTTCCCTTTCCACTCTTGGCTACAGAAGAGAGGGAAAGAGGAAAAAAAGAGCTTTTCCTAGACCTCTTGAAAAGCCAGCACCTTGGCCACACTTTTCCAAGCACTTTCCAGTACCACTCTGTTACTTGCAGCAGCCAATCTACTCTGCAAATCTCACTTTCTAACATTGCTTTCTCCTGCCTGGTCTTCAGATGCACATTCCTCCTTCCTTCGGGGATCCTCCTTCCAGCTACATTGCCTGCTTTCCACCATAGCTTCTTCGATCCTTGCTCCTTAAACATCAATAGCAATAGCAATAGCAGTAGACTTATATACCGCTTCATAGGCCTTTCAGGCCTCTCTAAGCGGTTTACAGAGAGTCAGCATATTGCCCCCAACAATCTGGGTCCTCATTTTACCCACCTCGGAAGGATGGAAGGCTGAGTCAACCCTGAGCCGGTGAGATTTGAACCGCTGACCTGCTGATCTAGCAGTAGCCTGCAGTGCTGCTTTTAACCACTGCGCCACCTTGGCTCTAGCAGTAGCCTGCAGTGCTGCTTTTAACCACTGCGCCACCTTGGCTCTTATATATAGCTCTTTCAATCCACACCAAAACACATGGACTAACAGATAAGAACTCTTCTCTCTGATGACTCTGCTCCTCCTAGATCTTGAACTAGAAGACAGATGTGCTTGCTCACAGGTGTCTTAATCAATCCAAGAACCTCCTAGCTATTTGCATAACATCTGGCAAACAGACAAAACTTAACCTTGAGCCAAATTACAACCCTGTCTCAGTGATGGCAGTGTCCTGCCACAGCCTGATCTCTTTATCTTTTGTTCTTCCTTGCTGTCTCATAGCATTGCTAATGATGTTATGTCTGGACAATCCCATTTGTCCATTTTCAAGAAGGTACATATTTTTACCAAGATCAGGTAATTTGTATAAATGAATAGCACAATTACGGTAATCTAAGTAATTTACCCAGAACTTCCTCACTAAAATTAATATAATTTTAGGATACTAACAATAATATACCCTTTCTACTCTTGCACTTTCACATTTCTCCTCTCTGTACTTCCTGTGATACTCCATACATATATAATAATATATTAGTGTGTTACATTCAATATTAATATTTTGTTTTATGGACAGAATTCTAAATAACCACATTCCATTCTTTGGTCCTCTGTTTTTGATTGTCTGAGACTGTGTGCCTAATCTTTTAGGGAAGTTAAAGTGAACAGGAACTGTAAGAAAGATAGAATTGTATTTTGGAACAATGAGTAGGGGAACTTAGAACAGATTGGCTGAAGAAACTATTGATCTGTACGATTCAATTTTGACAGTGACTTCATTGTAGTGCATATCAAAGCTAGTAAGACTTCTCAAGAGATGCTAAGGGACATCATAGAGACCACACAGTGAAAAAATGTAAAATAAGTAGACACGGAAGAACAGATTTGCTTCATACAATTTATGTTATGATTTATGTAATGGTCTCCCTTCAGCAGTCTTGGAGAGCAGATTCAGCAAAATTCTATTAAATGTTATGCTCATGTGATTCAGGTGAAATTAAATCTATGGAACATCTCTTTCTCTGCTACTTCAGCTGTTCTTTAAGAAATTGCCTGAACGAACTGAGCATTTATATGAATTTATATAAGTTATTTTACAGCAGACAGAGATTCCAAATGTACCTTCTAGTTGTCAATTTTGGCTTCTTAGCAACAAGTGTGTGCTGTTTAGAAGATCAACACTCTTGTATCAGAAAACTATCTCAGTATATGTGGGTGGACTTGAAGATGATAAAATGTTTATGAATTTATTAAGTTTGGTCTATGGTCATAATAAAGTTGTCATGATGTTTATTTACTATAGTATTTTGCTCTGCAGGGAACAGGAATTGGATGCTAAGTTTATTATTTCAATGGAGAAAAATCAAACACAAATCACAAATTTAAAAGTGAGTATATTCAGCCACAATAGAAACATTTTTATTTTAGTTTATCATTCTGATTCTTTTCTTAACAAAATGTAGCAGACAAAATCACCATCAGAATTTAAAATCAGAAGATCAGGACAAGAGCCATGATGGTGCAGTGGTTAGAATGCAGTCTATAGGCTACTTCTGCAGTTTGTCAGTTAGATTATCACAGGTTCAAGGTTGACTCAGCCTTCCATCCTTCCGAGGTCGGTAAAATGAGAATCCAAATTGTTGCTGACTCTGTAGACCACTTAGAGAGGGCTGTAAAGCACTGTGAAGTGGTATATAAGACTAAGTGCTATTGCTATCATAAAACAAAAAAAAACGATTTGAAGAATTTAGTAGCACCTGATATATGGAAGTGGCAATTTTTATTGTTTATTTGTTTGTTTTTGTTTGTTTGTTTGTTTATGTATTTATTTATTTATAACACACTGCTGCACACTTTATACCAAACTGTGGAGTGTTCCGGAACACTTTCTTGTCTTTGATGTTTGGAAAGCATAAACGCTAGTATTATGATAATCAGGATAGCAAACAAATAAGTTCTTTTCACTTAATGTAAATGATAAAAGGCTGGAATATCTATTGAATCAGCCCATTAATTTTGAAAGAAATGTAACTCGATCACCTCCTTCTCTTCCTCTGAGTTTTCCTCTAACATGATAGGAGTGATTTGCCAATCCTCATGGATAAACAAATGCAGGTGGAGACTCTTATGAAATAAAATTAATGGATATATTAATAATATAGGAGGTGAGTAGTGGAGGATAAATTTTTCAAAATTGCTTTTCTTGAAGTATTTTTTAAATATTTAGGAAACAGATACGCACTAGCATATTCACCTCACTACATATTTGCCTCACATTTTAAAAGAAATGTACAGTGATTATCTTAACATAGATTGCAGTAGTAATTTGTTTGTTTATCCACTTATTAGATTCCAGAGGGAGGATCTGGGGACTTGGGAAGAGAGCGAACAAAAACATTTACATATGATTTCTCCTACTTCTCAGCTGATCCTGAAAGTTCAAACTATGCATCTCAGGAAATGGTAAGCTGCTGACATTAATGATACTCAAAGTGAAAACATAATTCCAATGTTTACTGTGTGATTGTTTGATAGATGATTTTAAAACTGCTTATTTCAACTGTTTAGTATGTACAAAATTACCTACACGTGTTGGCCATGCACATTTGTAGGTATATACCAGGGGTGGGTTCCTGCCAGTTCTAACCTCTTCTATAGAAGAGTTCCACAAATCTACCATGCCGTTTAGAACTGGTTCCAGCTCCCTCCTTCCGCCCTACCACACCACGCTTGCCCCGTCCACCGCTCACTGATTGGCTGGCTCACCAATCGCCCTGCCCGCCTCTAAGAGTCCTATCTAAACCTTAAAGTCTTAAAGCTGTCAAATTTGAACACCCCTGGGGTTTTTTCCCCTAAAGGGTTAGGGGTGCAATGGTCTTGTAACTTGACAGCTTTAAGACTTGCACACTTCAATGCCAGCGTTCCTGAGCCAACATGACTGG